AGGAAACGGCGGTTTCTGTTTCAGTCAGTTATGTTGAGATGTTGGTAGCTCTAGAAAAAAATCTGGAGGGGACTGCCCAAATATAAAAGCTGAGGAGTAAGGCAGTGGCGGAAGGCAATTACCCTTTTAAAATCAAAGGTCTGTATCTTGGATGTTTGAGGTGTTTAGTGCTATAGTATATACTTCCCCAAAACGTCTGGAGTGCTTAAAATGTGAAGATATAATAAGATGCAACTATAGAAGGGTGGAATATTCTGTTCAGCTGATATTTCATACACGAAGTGTAATGAACCTGAAAAGATTAATAATTATAATGTCTTTATTTCTAGGAATGTTTAGTAGCAGTACTCCAAGAGATGCGTAGAAAGTTAAGCAACAGCAGTAATTGTTGAAAGGTGCTATTCTGTAGCACCAAAATACCTAAGGAGATATGGTCACATTGCAGCTCTCTTTATATGATTAGCTTAATGGAAAGTGTAAAATGATTGAAAGTTAGTAAATTCTGCAAAACAGAAAATAAAAATTTTTTTAAAGCTCTGAGTTTTTTTTTCTACTCTTAGTGTGCAAGATGGACTGGCTGCTGACTTCAGAGCATTAACGAAGACTCTCTATGATTTGAATAAAGCTCTGGGAAGTAATATAGTTCGTGGGGGTCCTCTGAAAGAGCTAGTGATAGAAGATTTTGATGAAGAACAGATTTGGCAACAACTAGAGCTCCAGAACAATGCAGTTCTTGATTTCTTCAAGAAATCCATTGCAAGGGATGCCAAGGATGAAGGTCTTTGCCTTCTCTCAGATCAGGAAGAGGGTGGCTCTGATACAGAGACCAGCAGTGACAAGGAATTGGAAGACAACGTAATGGAAGCAGAAACTGAACAGAAGAATGTTTATATGAAAGACAAAACTAAAGAAAAGCAAAGTAAACTCAGAGAAAGCATAATGCAGAAATACAGTGATGAGGATTCTGATATTGACTTTGATATTGAAGCACTGGAGCAACAAACTAAAACAGCCAAGGAAACCAGATCCAAAAAAATGGAAAGAAAATCTATAGTGGACGACAAGTTTTTCAAGCTGGCTGAGATGGAAGCTTTTTTAGAACAAGCAGAGCAGGAAAAGAGGGAGGAGGAAGAAGATATTAATTATTTTGAAGACATCGTATCAGATGATGAGGAAGAAGAGCCTGAAGAAGCTAAAGCCAAAGTAAGAATATCAGGAAATTAATTTTCTGATCTCTCTTTTCCTTTTAATCAAGATCTGATGTCCATTAGGGTGACTATAAATTGTTGAACTCTGAGTAGAAACTACTAAGTTAAATTTGATGATACAAGTAATGATTGCTTCTGAAGCTTTACTTTAGTAATATATTTGACATGAATATCTGGTAACAAAATGTCCTAGTTTAGAAGAACATACAATCCTGCTATTGCAGTCTCTCTTTAGATGGGTCTTGGGTTTTTTTGCATGAATAAAGGAAGAGTATGTCACAAGAAATAAGGGACCTTGCAGAACTGCAGAATAGGTGACCCAGCAAGTGAAGAAGATCTGTCACTCAGCATTGACATTTGGCAATTAGAGATCACTAAGGTGATCGATGCAGAGCAAAGGGCTTTTGGCAACTTCTTTTTCCAGGGATGTGGCTTTGTAACTCTGATTTAGCTTAAGTTGTTGAGTACTTGTTTAAAAAAATAAACCTTTTACTATTTAATATTACCAAAGATTCTCGCTAGCAAGTAAGAACTATGACCGGGGTATAAAGGAACACGTACGCATTCCAGCGAGTAATCAGCAAAATCTACTGCTCTTTGATTTCTGTATGTGTTGAAATTGGAAATTAATTTAAGTGGTAGAATACTTTAAATACTTGTAAAAGAGATTAATTTTACCAAGATGCCTTACCACAGGTTAATGCTTTACTAAACTGAATTACTCTTACACAAGTAGTGCTGTTCCCCAGGTGCTAAAGACTTTAAAAGACAGGATACCCTTAGACTTCTGCCAGTCTTAACAGTTTTGGTTTGGTTTGTTTTTCAGTTTGTTTTTTTTTTTTTTTTCCCCTCTCCTCTTCTTAGCCAATTAAAAGTTCTAGAAACTTGAAATACAAAGACTTCTTTGATCCAGTCGATGACAATGATGATTTAGTAGCTGATGATGTTGAAGATGATCAGGAAGAGGAAGCAGACAGTGCTATTGAAGAGCAGAATGAAGAAAGCATGTCTGAGTAAGTATATGCATTATTTGCACTTAAAAATGTCCTTGTAATTTTACACTGAAGTGAAGTAGGAAAAAAAAAGTATAAATTCCAGGCTCACTTTGGTCATGGTTTGCCATGCTCTGTTATCTTGTATGTTCATGGTTTGCGTTGTCATCTAATTTAAAAAGTAGTTCATTTACTTATCTTCTGAGTATTGTCTCTTGATATTTATTTGAATAAATCAGTTAATAGCTGTAACTTCAGTTTTTGAAAGTTATTTTTAATATGTAGAAGTTTCCCTGTATTTAGGTTTCAATGAAAACCTATTGTATTTTTTAACTGTGGGTTAGTTGTAATAGGTAAACATCTAATGGCTGAAATATCTTAATGTAAAAAATTATGGAGGTTTTCCAACCTTTATTTTGTATTAAATTTTAATATTACAGGGTTGAGGATATGAATGAAATGATGATGGAGAGTATGAGAAGTAAAGAAGCGTCTAAAAAAGTTACTTTCAGTTTGCCAGATGACAGTGAAACAGAAGAGGTTACTGATATGCAATTAGAGAAGGGCATCGATCACAGTGAAATAAAGTCTTCTTTTCAGAAGAGACAGGAAAAGGTAATTGTTTATTTTGCTAATACTTTGAAACAGTGGCCAATTTTTTTTTAATCTATTGATTGTGTAATTTGTTCAGAATGTGGCAAATATGAAGAGGCTGTTTACGAATTCAGAAAAAACAAGTGGCTTATCTACATCAGATATATATGCAATCATACATTCCCTCATCTTTATGTGAGGAGGAGTTAGAAGTCCCTGGAATAACTATTAATTTCTTGCCTTAAGTTTACTTGTGAGATCTAGGTTTTAAACTTCTTAAGAAATTGTGTTTTTCAGATGAGCAAAAAAATAAAAAGTTTAGAGGAAGAGTTGCTAGAGGAGAAACCGTGGCAGCTTAAAGGAGAAGTGACTGGGCAGAAACGACCTGAGAACAGCCTCTTGGAGGAAACAGTACTTTTTGACCATGCAGTCCGAATGGGTAAGTAGCGAGAGAGGGCTTTCCTGAAAGCATGTTACCTACTATGTTGACTTTTCTTCCTGTTGCCCTTGCTGAAAACACCCATGATTTAAGAGCAGGGTAACAAAACACTAAATTAAACCTCTTGGTGTGTTTTTGAGTTGTGCATTTTCATGGTGGAAACTACAGGAAGCTATAATCTTCTTTGTTCATTTTTAACTTGACTGAAAGTTCATTAATTTGGTGGCAGATTTAGTCATTTACAAACCTTACATAATACGATTAGTCTCCTCAAGATAGAGGAAAACATTATTAACTTACTTTGCCTTCAATTATTACATTTTTGTGAAGGCTTTACTTTCTGTTGTTTATTCCTCATAGAACAAAAAGCATTTCTTGATGGAGAAACACTAATGTTAAAATTCTTCTTTTTCTTCTCTCAGCACCTGTGATCACAGAAGAAACTACTTTTCAGCTTGAAGATGTCATTAAACAGAGAATATTGGATGAGGTTAATATTAATCTTACTTGTTCCTCCCGATTTTGTTCATAGACTTGATTCACAGGGAACATTCCAAGGATGAGTTTGAAGATCTTAAAATGTTAGGTCTAGAGTTATCTTAATTAATTTCTGCAATTGACTGTTTTATTCTTTTGCCTTGATGAATGTGTCTTTAGATTTCTAAGGAGCTCTGTTTTTACTTGCCTGTTATATGTTAGATTTTGGTATGCTTCAAAAAAATGACTGTTTACAGATAAAACTATAAGGAATTTATTTGGGATATAATGCCAGTCTATAAATTTTGTCTATCACTGGAACTGTAGTGCTCTGAGTAGTCTGAATACTGACCAAAACTCAGTTGTTTACTTCATTTTTCTTAAAAGCCAGTGATAGAAGGTTTGTATCCCACAGCTTATTGAGGCTTATTGTTAGCTGAATAAGAAAACCTAGTACATATGGGGGAGAGTACTTAAGTACTTAAGAAAATTACACATTTGTTATTTGTTATACAATATTTGCCTTGATCCACTAAGAATAAGCACACAAGCTAGAGCTGTAAGTTTTTTTGACTTTTTTTTTTAAATGAAAGTGTGAAACTTAATGAGTTCCTGGGAAGCTGCGTGCATAAACTAGTTAATGTGTCATATAAGTAATATCAAAAATGTTCTAAATATGCTGTGCACCTGATATTGAACTGTAGTTGCATTTGGTCATTAATTTATGACTTTCTCAGGCATGGGATGATGTAGTACCAAAAGAAAAACCAAAGGAGGAGGCTTTTGAGTACAAGAAACGTATCACTTTGGATCATGAAAAGAGTAAACTGAGTCTTGCTGAGATATATGAACAAGAATACATGAAACTTCACCAGGTAATGTAAGCAATGCCTTTCCTTTTGGTTTAAAGTTCACACCACATAATCTTATATGTTCATTTGTACACTGCTAGCTCTGCTTTCAGCTTTGTGGAAGTACTTCAGTCTTTCTCTGAGTGTTCACCAGTGAAATGGTTCTGAATTATATGTTGTGGTGTTACAGTCTTGCTAAAGTAAAATGGCTTTATGAATGGTGTTGCAGTAACATTGCATTATTACCGCAGCAAAAGATTGAAGAGGAAGAAAATCCTGAACACAAAGAAATTCAAGAAATGATGGATTCACTCTTCCTGAAGCTGGATGCGCTTTGTAACTTCCACTTCACACCCAAACCAGTAAGTACATAAGTTTCATAAAGTTGGAGTTTCTTTCCCCCTTGTTTGAAACTGGATACTTTAAAATATATTTTGGAAATGGAAAGTAAAGTAAACATTAAGTGTTATTGAACCTGTTCTTGTTTCATGTTAAATGCACTATAATTGCCTTTAAACGAAACCAAATATTTACTATCTTCAGTTAGCCGTAAGCTGCTGTGAGATGGTGTCCTGGTTTCAGCTGGGGTAGAATTAATTTTCTGCTTAGTAGCTGGTACAGTGTTTTTTGGACTTAGTACGAGAATAATTTTGATAACATGCTGATGTTATAGTTGTTGCTAAGTAGCGCTTATCCTAAGTTAAGGATTCTTCAGTTCCCCATGCGCTGCCAGCGAGGAGGTGCACAAGAGGCTGGGAGGGAGCACAGCCAGGACGGCTGACCCAAACTGGCCAAAGGGATATTCCATGCCATATAGCGTCATGGGCAGTATATAAACTGGGGGAGTTGGCTGGGAGGGGCCAGTTGCTGTTTGGGAACGGGGCTGGGCATCAGTCAGCAGGTGATGAGCAGTTACCCTGTGCATCACTTGTCTTTTCTTGGGTTT